TACCTCCTGCTCGTGATCCCGGTGTATTTTGCGGTCAGGATGGCGTTGACGTCGACAAATGGATCAACCGGTGCGAACGGGTCAGCGCAAGCTATAGGTAGGACCCGACTCTTATGCTTGCCAATGTGCTTTTTTACCTCGATGGCACACCGCGAGTGTGGTTCGAGACGCACGAAGCGGAGATTACGAGCTGGGACTCCTTTAAAGAGAAGATCCGCGACCTTTTTGGCGACACCGTTGGGCGGCAGATCGCCGCGCGAAATCAACTGGCGGCTCGTGCACAGACGTCGACGGAGTCGTACGTCGCGTACATTCACGACGTCATCGCCCTATGCCGCCAGATGGACGAGCACATGAGTGAGTCTGAGAAAGTGCCCCATGTGCTGAAAGGCATAGCCGACGGCACATTTAATCTTATAGTTTACAACAACGTTGCCACCGTCGACGCCATCATTAAAGAGTGCCGGCGGTTCGAAGAAGCCAAGAGCCGCCGTATTACTCAGCGATTCACCCGGCTGCCCAACACGGCCGCAACATCATCGTGTGAAGCCGCCCGCCAGTCCTCCACGTATGACAACGTCACACGCATTGTTCGTCGGGAAATCGAAGCTGCCTGTCCGGCTCCTCTTCAGCCACCCGTTTTTGCAACGCTCGCCTCTGACCAACAACAGCCGTCAGTGGCGTTATTACAAGCTGTGGTGGGGCAGGAGTTTGCGAACCTCGGCCTTCCATCAGTATGTCCCTTGACTCGCCCTGAAGTCCCGTCCTACTCCCGAGGACACGCTCGCCGTTCACCTCCAACAATGCCCTTCCGTAACCCTTTAAAATGGCGAACACCCAACGACCGGCCTATTTGTTTTTCCTGCTATCAGCCTGGGCACGTTTCTCGCTATTGCCGCCGCCGTTGGTCAAACCAACCACGTTAGACTTTCTCTACCTCGGCGCTCATGCAACCGAATATGCACACGACGCTATTGCTCGTGCCGACCACGCACGTCAGATCGCCCGCTCTAGACTTTCGGCTTCGCAAGCCACCCAGAAAGCCATCTACGACAGCCGGCATGCTGACGTTCACTTCTCACCCGGTTCTCTTGTTCTCCTGTGGTGTCCATTTCGTCGAGTTGGCTTATCAGAGAAGTTGTTGTCTCGCTACATGGGTCCTTACCGCATCATCCGCCAGGTAACCGACGTCACCTATGAGATCATTCCTGCATCTGAGACCACAAGCCTGCCTGCAACCACACCCAGTGATGCTGTGCACGTCAGCAGGCTAAAACCTTACCACCTGCCTACTGAAGACCGTAGTTAATGTGCACCGAGACGGCGCTTTTACTGCCGGGGGCGTAATGCTACATAGCTCACGTATCAGCGGTCAGAAGACGACAACGAGGAAGTGGTCTGTCGGTTGTGCGTGCTGTCTTCCATCTTAGTCGATGCCATACGCATCAGTTTGAATATAGATTTTAAATAGTCACGCCTCGTGTCATTTTTATGTAACAATATCTACCTTTTTATGCTATCTATATTAGTATGACCTAAAGTTTTTTTGGATGTGACAAAAGTAATTTCACTTATAATTAGCATTACTCGTGGCTGAACATTACACCCTTTATTTAACTTAATGTTGTAGCCATGCGAAAAGTCGATCACAGAGGAGAGAGAGAGAGAGAAGCGAAGAAAAAAGACAGAGAGGTTAACCAAGCTCTGCCTCGGCTAGCTACCCTACACTTCGGGGGGGGGGGGGGTGTAATAGAAAGGAAGAGATAGAAAAGAAGGAAGAGCCATAAAGAGATCCGTTACACTACAGAGGACCTATTAGCACGGTTAGCACGACGGCCAAATTCGTTTGTTTTTTGTCGCCATTATAAATTCTTTTTACCACTGGTCGATAGGTAGTAACTTTGTTGCATATTCGTAGAAAACTATTGCAAGCATGAAAGTGGCCATTGTGGCTTTTCTAGACAATCATCGGTGACGTTGCACTGCCTTGGCCTATTTCGTGTGTGTGTGTTGGTGCAAAACGAAATCAAAGGACCATACGTGGGCGCAGGCTCCACATTGTGGGGAGGAAGGAGGGAGTAAAGAATGTGTGATCGCGGACTCCCCCCCGCCCCCCCCCCCCACACCACTCATTATCTCTTTGGTCGGGTCTAGAAGGCCACATGCTTCACAATAGATAGAAAGAAAATCAGCAAATGAAGCCACGACGTGATTCTCCAATCGACTTGGGTATAGAGTCGCCAACATTGCGGGAATAAAGACGGAGAGCAAACCGCTATGAAAGGAACAAAAGAGAGAAAAATAATTTGTTTTGCGCATTGGTAAGGCACAATTTTTCAATAACAAAAACTTCACTCTTACCGCGACATGCCGCTTGGTAAACGACAAGACTGTTGAGAGAAAATGCGGGTGCAGACGTTACCTTAAGAATCCCGCACCAAACACCATGACGACACAGATTTCGACGGCGTCTGCTGGGTTAGGTGGGGCTAAGAAAAGGCTACTCAATAGTTACATAATTAGTTACAGTTATAAACTCACTCGCTTGATGTTTTGATAAAAATGATCAAATTGATGAAATGTTTCTTGACTTTAGCAAAGTATTTGACATAGTTTCACTTGACAAACTAATAGTAAAACTCACAAAAATTGAACTTCCATAAATATTGACTTCATGGATTAGGGGCCATTTGACTAATAGATCCCAATGTGCAGCAGTGAACGAGCGGCAATCTGGCTATTTTTTGGTTGGCTCCGGAGTCCCTGAAGGGAGTGTATTAGGCCCATTGTTGTTGCTGCTGTACGCTAATGATATAGCTGCTGTCATTGATCCTAGTATGCAATTTATATTGTTTGCAAATGACGGTGTGTTCCATGAAATAACTCACCTGATGATCAGCTCAACTGCTGTACGCTAATGATATAATGTTGCTGCTGTACGCTAATGATATAGTTGCTGTCATTGATCCTAGTATTCAATGTTTGCAAATGACGGGGTGTTTCATGAAATCACTTACCTGATGATCAGATTAACCGTAACTCTGCTGTTGGTGTAATTTCCGGATGGTGTATTGCGTGGCATACAAAGCTTGATATTCACAAAATCGTACATCTTCGTTGCTCTCACCGAAACGCTCCCCTTCCCTTTGCATACGAACTAGGCTCATTACCACGGCATGAAAAAATGCGGTACAAGTACTTAGGTGTCACTATTACTAATAATTTATCATGGAACACACAGACACACACACACACACACACACACAGACACACACACACACACATATATATATATATATATATATATATATATATATATATATATATATATATATATATATATATATATATATATATATATATATAATTTGTTCTTTTACATTCCGCAAATTATGCTTTTCAAGACTTAAGCTCCAATTGTTGCCTCCAGCTGTAACCATACTTGCTTATACCACACTAATTAGGCCAAAAATTGATTATTCATGTGTTCTTTGGGACCCCTTTACTAGAACTAAAATTGTACTCCAACGGTATGTACAGAAAAACTGTAAGGTTTGTTTATTCGAAATTTTTTCCCGCATGACTCACCCGCTGAACTAGTTCAGGCTAACCAAATTCAGTTCCTTTCACTAAGATCGTTCACTGCACGTTTATAATTTCTTTATTTGGAATATGAAGCTAACAATTAACCCATAATCTTTTCTTTCGTCTTCAACTTCAGGACTTACTCCTTGCCACCATATCAATTCTTTGACACAATATTTTACGAGAACACAGTGATTTACATTTTTTACCCCACAGTATAACAGACTGAAAAGATTTTTTGTTGACTTCAGTCACATTGCGATGGTTGCGAATTGTATTAACTATGTTTGTGTTTGCTTGTTATTGCCCTCACTCTACTTGGACCTGAGTAAGGTTTGCAGTATTGAACAAAGAAAGAAACACAGCGCCACAAAAGGGCCAGGACTAAGGGACACCGTGCACAAAGAGAGGTTTCAAATCACAACTTAATGGTACGTAGACTGCAAAGGCGGTGTGGTATTGCACGCTATATAGAAGTGAATGCTTAGTGCAGGAAAGACAAGTTTTAGGTTCAGTGCTCGTCCTATGCGTTGTGTTCCTTCGTCCTCGTCCTTTCGTTGCGCTGTTTTTCCTGCTAAGTATGTACCAACTAACCCAAGTCAATGTATAGGTCAAGTCCACTGCGTCCTACGTACTATGTAACCAGTCAAAATGAAGTAGTCATCCGTGTGTGCCACAGACCTAACACACACGAAGTTTCATCAAATTTCACCGACGCAATGTTGCGAAAACTTGAAAAAATACATTTTCAAATCAGTGATGGCATGCGCAGAGATTTCAGTGTGAAATCTAAAAATGAAACTTAAGCATAATTTTCTTCGCTAATCATGCACTATTGATAGTAAAACTTGTGATATTAGAGTTCTCAAAGCATGGTGTATCAGTTTGAACCGAGTCATTGCTTCGCTTTAGCATCTCTTTAAAATGCGGTATTCGAGGCCTTCGGCTGCCACTGTCATCCAAAAAGCTGCTCATAACGCATCTCTTTAAGCAACGAGGGAGGTCTGACCGAGCAAAAATACGGAGCGGGCTTCGCGCCCCTCTTAGGCCAATAAATAAGAGGGGGGGGGGGGGGGGCTGCTCCGCTTTCTTCGTGCGCACTCCTAAGCGAAATACTAGCAAAACCTTTTCCAGTTTCATTCAAATTAGAGTGAACAGGAGACCACACTGTGTGTAAGAGGCAATATTTGTTTTCTTTTTTTCTCTCACATCACGGCCGTGGCCCGACTGTTATAGCCAGGACCCACAGGTCGCGCATATTAAGATTGTTCGTCACTATATCAACAAGGTGTGGACGTGCTGATGCCAACGCTAACGCGTATGACCGTTGAGCGGACGTGGGTCTGGAAGAAAGAAAAGTGTGGGAAGAAAAAAAGAGACGCGCTGGCGTTGGAAGTCCTGAAGTATGTTGGAGAGTTGGAAATGAACAAAGAGAATCTCGTGCGTCCAGTTCCCGTCGTGCTTCACGGCGGCTACCACTGGCGTTGTCGTTCCTCAGGAACCTTGTCGCTGTCTGGCCTCGCCGCACCCGGTCTTTGGTCCTGGGTTCAGCGTCCGTGTAGGCAGTGGGTCTTCGCCCAACAGGAAGTAAGTCGTCACCATTCCCTTGCCCTGCGTACCGAAACGTGTTTCCTTTTAAGTTTTCATTTTAATATTTTTCCAACAAGCATTTTTTTTTATACACGTTTTAGTCATGTATGGTAGCAAAAGCCGCGAGAAAGCAACCTGACAAAGCTCCCTCATTTGTGAGACACATGGCAGCGTAGGTTAAAAAAAACACTGTACACCATTGTAACAAAAACCGGACTGGTTGGTAGGAATTCATAATGGGGTGATTTCAGCCCACTCAGAACAGAAAAAAAAAAGACGGAATAAAGTAGAACAACGCTTGTTTGTCCACATCCTTCCGTCCTCATGTGTCCTGCGTGCGCTGAAATCGCCCTGTTACAAATACAGCGTACGATGGTTATATGACAGTGAACTATTTAGTGTCACAAAGATAAGCAATGAAAATCTGTCCATTAACGTAAAAAAACCTTTAGTGCTACAACCACAATATGAGACAGTTATGTCGGGTCGTGCACATTTAGCTGTTGAAAACAAAAAGTTGCCTATAGCAACAATCAGGGTTTATAGTGCCGCGTGTGTGCTTTGTTATATCAGTCAGACTTAGGAAGGAAATTGATCTATTCTTTGTGAGACTCGGTCGCGGACCTTTCACACATATCTGTCTACGACCGTACAAATGCACACGTACACTGCGGAAGCCAGCTGAATATATTCAGCATCGACAATAGGCAACTTACTGAAGGCATACAAGAGAAAAAAAAAGTGACGTGTTCAATCTAGATGCTTTATACAAACAAGTTTACATCGCAGTAGTTTAGCAGAGGTAGTCACTGCGACACAGTTCACCAGAGCATGTGTTTTCCGGCATTTGCATTCGAAGGGTTTGGTGAGGCAGTAGTGCTACTCCGAGACTAGTTAACATCCAATCCTTTATTCTCTCTTTGGTTTTATTTCTTTTCTATACGACCTTCCTCGCTACAATTTGCAGGGGCAAGCACCTGCGGTCACTCTAGCTCACGCAGACCACAGAACGATGACAATAGTAACCATTTTGGAATGTCGTCCTGAGACGTAATCGCGGATGAAGGCGAAGGATGCATTGCTAAAATTCTTGAAGCCAACAGAACTGCACCAGTGGTTATAGACTTGGAAATATTTGGTTATACCCAGCCCTTTCGCCTACAGAAGCCCCTCAGCACACTTTAAATCCTCAACCGTAGAGCAAATGCGCCTTTCTTGAACAGCACAGTGCTTGATTAGTGGTTGTTGGAGTTTAATCTCATACAGTGGGTGTGCTATTGTCCTCAGGCGACACCACCGTCATTAATGACCATGTTTCTTTTCTCATCCCATTGCGCTGGCTCTGAGTAGCGAACCCCCGCATACAACGCTCAGAGAAGGATTCTCGCGGCTTTAATTTTTCATTGTTAAACGGAAACAACAATCGTTCCTACCGCTCCACTAAGACGACGTTCCTACCGCTCCACTAAGGGTATACGGCAGCTATGGAGAAAACAGCGAAAGGTTGAATGGAAGCATGCTAACCACGCGACAGCGCTATTCCTGCCTATGTTTCCGTCATCACTTTCGTCTGTGAGTACATAGTGCAGCCTGAGAATCCGCAGAAATGTTCCACTCTGCAGCTATTCTCCTTTTCGCATTACAGCACCATGGAGCATCACCAGAGACGCAACACACGCGATGTTCCGTTTTTTTTCCCTCCGTAAAGCTGTAGCAAATATTATGCCCCAGCGAAGCGCACATACGACGCTCCCGCCAAATTGAGTGAACCGTATAACAGTTCTATCCTTTGCGGGATAGTGCGCATTGTACGCCGCAAAACGCTCCTTGCAACAAGCATAAATTGAAATAAATGGAGCCAGAAGCAAACCGAGGTGGCTGGGCAACCTGCAGCGTTTATTTTACAGCACTTCGCACCCTGTGGCCATCAACGCTTAAGGACGTCGACTGTTCTACGTTCCTGCTCGTTTTCACCCGTTACAACACAGCGGGCTCTTTTCTCCTCAGCAGAGTTCCTCGTTCCTAATTGCCTTCATCCAAGAAAGGGCCCCTATACATTACACGTATATTGCTACTTAAAGGGACACTGCACCGGGGGTCACTCATAAAGAGCAAACGTTGTTACCAAGTGTGCACACTATGCGCCATCGTGAATTGTTAAAAGCCTCGTACGGTAGTGGTAGTCGCGTCAGGCCTAATAAAGGAGCGAGAAAACGCGTCAACCATCGAGAAATGCGTAAATAAGCATGTGTATATGTGTCTATGTAAACTATATGCGGGTCACGGGACCTACATGACTTGGACAAAAAAAAAAAGATCACTTTTTGTGCTTTCCCATTGCAAAAGTGAATCGACATATAGTACGGGCACATGTACCATAACAAAAGGAACCATGGAAATTCGAAAATAGCGAAAACCAGCATCAACATTAACCCCCCACCCTGCTTATTTCTTTCTTTCCTTCTTTTTATTTGCTAGTACCATAACTCTGATTGAAGTGCCCTACCCCTTCCTCTTTTTAATTCACTATGGTTTCTTTTTATTTGTACTTGCGCGTCCCCGGTGACGAGAAATTCATGGATGTGACACACACACACACACACACACACACACACACACACACACACACACACACACACACACACACACACACACGCACGCACACACACACACACACGCACACACACGCACACACACACACACACACACACACACACAAGAAAAAAAGGTTTAACAATAGAGTAATATCAATCAGCAATGGAAAGGAAAATGGTAGGTGTAACCTGAAGATACAAGAAGAGCGCAGAGTGTATCAGGGAAGAAACCGGGTTAAGGCTATCATAGCTGAAATCAAGAAGAAGAAATCGACATGGGCTGGGCCCGTTGCACGTAGGCAAATAACCGCTGGTCATTAAGGTTTACTGACTGGATTCCCATAGAAGGCAAGCGGGTTAGGGGGGGGGGGGGACAGAAAGGTAAGTGGGCAGATGTGTTTAAGTATTTTCCGGCTATAATGGCAGCAGCAAGCACAGGACCAAGTTGACTGGTGGAACATTGGAGATGCCTTTGTCCTGCAGCGAACGTAGTCAGGCTGATGATGATGATGATGAATAGCAATCATACTTGTGGCATTACGTTAGAAAATACCCAGAAGCTCAACCCCTTTATACTAGTCGGTGGCTTCAAGATACACACTCACGTCCAAACTACCAATTTCTGTTCTCACCAGTCCTGAGCCGCTATAAACCTTCAATCACCTTTGAAACATACCCGCATATCTGCGACACATACCCACAAATGTCAGCTAAAAGGAAAGATTTATAATAAACGAAGAACAATTATAATTGCAAGAGGACCATATAAGCACAAACACAAACGCCTAAACTAGTCGGCGAGCTCAACGTAGGCATTATGAAGCGTAAGACCAAACTTTGTCGTCGATTCTTCATGTCAAATTATGCCACTCAATTTAGATTATATGAGGCAACGCTCAGGAAACGTATGGCAAGATCCATATGATACCCAGAGCTTCGCCCACTCATCATCATTCACTTCGTGGAGATGCATGGCTTTTCTTTTGTTTTTACCCGTATATTAGGGGATACGATTCGGGGCATATATTTCTCGTGTTCAGCCCAATGCTTCAGTACTCGCTTTTATTTTACGCACCTTATAGCGGTCATTCGTATCCCACTCCTGTCTTAATCCGGAAGTTAAGACCCGCAGCACCACCATTCGATGCGTAAATAAATCTACACGAACGGCGTTGTCCTTATTGCCGGGTCGCGTCCTACATGCATGCATGTATCGTCAACCGGTTGACGTAGATAATAACTCGCTCGGTGGAGTGAAGCCGCGAAATGATGACTCCCTTCGATCTGAATTCTAATTTTACCTTCAGGCGCAAGAGGTGCACACAACGGTAATCGATGCCATTCGTCGTTCGGCCGCTCTCTTGCGTGAACTATGCTGCACGAGCCATCTGCATTCGCATACGATGTGCGATTTTGAAAAGCCTGTAGATACTGCTCAAAGGACCAAATGCAGTGATAAAAATGGCACTAAAAACGCAGATAAGTGTTCCAAAAGCTCGTAATGCTTGCCAGAAGAACAAAGATCCAATTTTCAATCACTCAAGTGGATAAAAATGGCACTAAAAACGCAGATAAGTGTTCCAAAAGCTCGTAAGGCTTGCCAGAAGAACAAAGATCCGATTTGTAATCACTCAAGTGGATCCCCCAGTTTCTACCTGAAGCATCTATGACCAACGGACTAGCTCTACAATAAGCGACGTTGAGGTACCTACTACGCATATAGCTTGGCTTGATCACTTAAGGCTAGGCAATGCGCTTCCCCGCTTTGAGCCTTCTGCGGTGACATCGGCAACATTGAGCATTTAATTTGCCTTATGCGCTCAGTTTGACAGGAAAAGAGATGCGATGTTCCGATTGATTGATTTGTGGGGTTTAACGTCCCAAAACTACTATTTGATTATGAGAGACGCCGTAGTGGAGGGCTCTGGAAATTTTGACCACCTGGGGTTCTTTAACGTGCACCCAAATCTGAGTACACGGGCCTACAACATTTCCGCCTCCATCGAAAACGCAGCCGCCACAGCCGGGATTTAATCCCGCGACATGCGATGTTCCGTACCCTGCAAAGGGGTGGCCACAGGTACCGAGCTTTTGAAGATAACGTTGTTTGTGAAGCGCCTGCAGCAACAAGGAAGAACGTGTAACGATACTTTAGGGCCTTCCTGCAAGACAGTGAGCGTGTGGTGGCAGATGCCTGCAATTCGCGTCAGGTGAAAAAGTTGCCGCACATGCAGGGCAGGCTAAGCCCGCCTGCGGCAATATCGCAACCATCATCGGGAATCCGACAAATCCCACGCATTGCAGCACTCAATTTAATGGAAAGCGGACAGCGAGTATCAGCCAGTGGCGGATTGTTAGCTGAGAGTGAAGCGTTACAAGGTAAATCGGCGTCTTTGCGTAAGCTGAGTATAGTTGTGCGCATATCGT